GGAGGAGCTGGATCCAGCGCTTGGGTGAGATTCAGCTCCCTGCAGTGGATTTAGGCAGTGACCTTTGCATCTCCTCGGAGCGCTTCCCCTTTTAATAGGAAACTAGCAGAAAGGACGCCCGAGTGAGCAGAACCGTCGTGGCACTGGCGCAGATGGCCAACCAGAAAGCACTCAAGCAGCCGCTGCCGGGCAGAGGGTTTTAATGTCACATGTCGGCCTGGTGCAGGAAGCATCCACTTAGCACCACATTTCTCAACCACAGCAACTTCAAAATGCGTGGACTTCCACGCCCAGAATTCCCCAGCCAGCCATGCTGGGAATGGAAGTCCACACATCTTAAAGCGGGCAAGGTTGACGAACACTGACTTAGGATACGAGGTGACCCCGATCTCCACCTTCCGTACTAGATTCCCTTCAAGCGGCCAAGGCGTTGCGGTCACACAGTCCTGTGGAAAAGGAAGCTTAGAAGGGTCCTCGGAGCATCCTGAGAGCACAGCGCTTGCCAGGAAATGCCACTTCCCGTGCACAAAACTTTCCCATAACGTTCAGAGCGACTCTTTTTCAGAAAAAGTCCCTTTGTCCTCTCAGCGCTCCTTTACTTCATTCTGGTTTTCAAGGGCAACTTGTAATCTTGGGTTACTTATGTTTGCTTGGATTCGAAACAAGTTAGAAGCACCCACAGAAAAGGAGGGGCACGTTGGATGTCAAATACGGGAATGAACACTCCAGCCAATTTTTGATGGGGCTGGTTCAAGTTAGCCTTCCCCGACTATCTGCCCTCAAGATGTTTTGGACTACAATTCCTGTAATTCTCTGCCAGTGCACCCCAGTGGGGAATGATGAACCTTGTCCAAGAAACACCCCAGAAAGCAAGGGCAAACCGTTTTCATGCGGCTGCTTCAAAAGCAGCATGAACGTACCCACGAAATTGCCAGTGGACATCAACTGAAATGAGACTTTCTTCATTCAACGACCTCTTGAAGGCACCAAGCTGGGGAAGACAGACTCAGGTACCTTGGAAGGAGCTACTGACAGCAATTCACCTTTGCAACTGTCCCTACAAGCCAGCTGCAGCCTCCCTCCTCCAAACTCCGTCTCTGGCTGGTCTCATCCTCACAGGTCTATGCCGAAGCTCCCCCCGTCAGGCACTTGCATCTGGGACATTGTGTAATTTTAAAACCTTCCAGGTGCCCTTTGCTTTCTATCTATCTTGGACCCCTGAAATGTCATCTCTTGAACTGCAGCAAAGCAGAAGCATTAACCCAGCCAATGCAGCAATGAAGGGCAGGGCAAGTGGTTGGCACAGGTTGCCCTAGGTTGCCCTTATGTACACATTCCTCTTCAGGGCCTGAAGCGTGTGGAAAGCTGTGTCTCCCGGGTAGGGCCAGGGGGATCGCAAGCTCTTCTGCGGAGGGAGATGCACCAGTTCAGCCACGCTGGGTTGCTGGGAGACGAGGCCCTGGGCACAATGGTGCCCTAAGCTCTGCCTTGGCCAGCTGCTCCCACACTTCATGCCCAGGGTCTGGTTTATCGGCACCCGCTTCCAGCGGGGCCCCTGCAGTCACACTTCTCCTGGACCCAACTTACACGTGAGCCTTGGCATACGTTTGACTGCAACCCTCAGTCAGGGAGCTGCCGAGCTGAGCCTTGCGTGCCCGCTCAACCTTCTCCAAAGCCGCTTGTTTAAATGCTCCCTGTGAAGTTTGCTTAAGGTTCAAAAGTTGCCCCTGACAATGACATTTATTCACAAGAGGTAGCACGTGTTCTTCTACCGCTTTTATTGGACTGTATTCTTATTAAACAGCTTCCTAGACCCCCAGCACCTTTTCTTTGGAAAACACAGAAGACAGTCATGCTACGGCCACTCTGAGCCCCCCTCGGCTCCCAGCTGATGTGTCTGAAGTCACCAGTGGCCTGCAAGCCCCCCCAGCCAAAGGGCGCAAATCACCAGGACGTCTGGCGCAGACCCTGTCACCCTGGGCTGAAATGGCGCCTGCCGGTGCAACAAGGCAGGAAGGAGGCGTCCTCAGCTTCTCCCCACCCGGCCAGCACTCGGTTCCTCCTTCCCCTGCACAGACACTATCCTTTTTCCCAGCATCAGCCATGAAGCGGAGCTGCCCAGCTTCGCATCGCCACCGCCCAAGAGGAAGGGGCTTTGGTCCACCTTCTGCATGGAGAGGGGCTGGTTTGGACAGAGGACCCAAGTCCTGGCCTCTCCCCACTTGGCCTCCCTCCCTGTTGCGTCTCTGCCCTCAGAGACGGTGAGGTGAGAGAAGCAGACCCTCCTGAAGCAGGCACGTAACGAGGGAGGGAGGGAGGAATGGTGGTTACTCGCTTAGGTGGCTTTACAGCTGGGGGGCATTCATGGAGGCGACAGGGAGAGATGTAAATACAAGCAATGACAGCTAGGGAGCCCGCCCTGCTTTCTCCGCTGGCCCTCGTGGAAGGCTGGCGCTCCGTTGGACCCGAGACGCTTGTGTCGTCTGGCCAGGGGGCATCAGTCTACATTCTAAGATGGGAGGCAGGTTGGAGAAGGGAAAGGTGAGGGGGAATGCCAGGAGGGGCTCCCTGCCTGACCAAGCACCTCTTTTCATGCAGAAACTGGACCCTGCCAAGCGCAAACAGGGCAGCCACCAGAGCACCGGGGGCGGGGTGGTGTGCATGTGCCTGCAAGGCTGCCATCACAACCAGGGCAAACTAAGCAGCCTCAGGATGCAAAGACGCCGACGCCAGGCCTTGCTGTCTCTGCTCCTGCCTGTGCTGGTCAACGCTGGGGGGGGAGCCAACCTCCTCCCACTAGGTTGCTCAGCAGCCCAGGAAATGTCTCCCAGAGCTGCCATCCCATTTAGCATCAAAGCCATGGGAGGTGGCCAGGGGCAGGAGGGGCAGAGACCCTCCTCTCTCTCGCCCACAAGGCAGCTTTTGCCCTGCCTCCAGGAAGCCGGATTCTGACCAGGCAGCCCGGGCAGGAGGCGGAGCAGGGGAAGGACATGCGCCAGGTACCGGCGGGTGAAG